GATGTGGTTCTGTTTGTTTACAGACGTTGTGGTTCTGTTAGTTTACTGAACCACGTCCATGTCAGCGGCGCCATGTTCATTTTATTCATCAGCTGTTTGTGTTGACACAAAGAGGAAGAAGTGAAAATGAGAGAAGTCAGAAGAGGAAACAGAAACTTTTCATATTTGACTTTGATTCCTGAAGTGAAACTAAACCAAGAAAAGAAGAATGTGTCAAAATGAAAAGTTACGGAGGAAGAGACCAGAAACTAACAGGAAGGTACAAATGTCACCATTGTCCTCACAGTCCAGTGTCCTTACAGTGTCCTCCCAGTCCTTTGTGTCCTTCAGAGTCCTCACAGTCCAGTGTGTCCTTACAGTCCAGTGTCCTTACAGTGTCCTCCCAGTCCTTTGTGTTCTTACAGAGTCCTCACAGTCCAGTGTGTCCTCATAGTCCAGTGTCCTTACGGAATCCTCACAATCTACTGTGTCTTCACAGTCCATAGTGTCCTCAGAGTCCTTTGTGTCCATATAGAGTCCTCACAGTCTACAGTGTCCTCAGAGCCCTTTGTGTCCATACAGAGTCCTCACAGTCTATAGTGTCCTCAGAGCCCTTTGTGTCCTCAGAGCCCTTTGTGTCCATACAGAGTCCTCACAATCTACTGTGTCTTCACAGTCCATAGTGTCCATAGAGTCCTCACAGTCCACTGTGTCCTCACAGTTCAATTCAATTCAATTTTATTTGTGTAACACCAAATCCTAATATCCAAGAGCTCCAGACTCTTCACAGAGAAGGTGAAGAGCTTCAGATCTTCTTCATCTAGAGAAACCAACAGGTGAACAATGAGCAGCACTTTGAGTCTGTGGAGGAGAAACTCATAATAATAGTTGTTCTCTTGCAGTTCTGGTTTGAAATGAGAGAGAAAGAGAGAGAGGGACTTTGATTGATTGATTGACTGCTTCATGTAAACATCTTTATTACGAAACCATCAGCTAACAATCAAACATTTACAAGGTAAATTAAAACAATATATTTTTTAAACATATTTGACTATTTGTTATTTATGAGCTCTGACACCAGATCTGAAATATTTTCTGATTTTTAATGTAACGTAAATTTTAACGGAACCAGAGTAGGAATGTTTCTTGTCATTTAATGAAAAGTTATTTTTTTCCAGAACTTATATCAAAATGAATCCGATGAAATCCGATGATTTCAGATGAACAGCTGTTGAACTTGAATCAGGATTAAAGAGGAGCGTTGAAGTGATCTGAACATGTGATTGAAGATGTGTGTGATTTGGTTTCTACTGGCCGGGTCTAGTCAGCGGCGGGTGCGTTGATTCCTGAGAAGTGATTGGCTGGTGCTCCTGACGTGTCACACATCAGCACAGATCCCTAGAGGAGAAATAAAATCTCTTCACACTTCATGATAAACATGTGTTGTATTTACAATTGATTATACTGATTGGTTTTTTTTACTGGATAATAGACGACTCATGTCCATGATGGCTTCATTAGGTTTGATGTTTTGTCTTATTGGTTTCATTAAAACAAGGTGATAAAATGTGTCCTTGTGATTTATCCACACATACAAGAGATCGGGGGGGTATTCCATTCCGTGAAAACATCACCATGACGACTTTGTTTGAATTTATTTATCTGAAACATTCTGTTTTCTCAAACTTCAATTTATGTTCAGTTTCTTGTTCTTTGATACCGAGAAGATGCTTTTTATAAATCAAACACAAAAATGAGTTAAAGGAGCTGATGAAGTTGTTGATGATGAAAACATAAAGCTGCTCACTTCATTAATTACTGAAGAGAATCAGTGATTCAAAGTATAAAACCTGAATTATTTGGTCTGAACTCATTTCCATCTTCTCACTGAGACATAAAGACTAGTGTTAGTGTCTCACTGACACATAAAGACTAGTGGTAGTGTCTCACTGAGACATAAAGACTAGTGTTAGTGTC